GAGCCGGGGAGGGCAGGAGGAGTTGCCTTCGAGACACCTCTCTCCAGAGGTACCCCCAGGGCGAAGCGGCACGGAGCTTTAATCTGGAATGTGCTGAGCCCTCCGCCGCAGCGGGCGATTTTCTTAAACCTTCTTTTAGGTTAGTCCGTCTGCGCGAGACTATGACTTTTTTTTTCTCTTCTCTTCTTTTCCCGGGGCTCGAGAGGGTGGGAAACAGATGCCCCTTTCCAGGCAGGGCTGTACCAGGGAAGTAAGTCGGCTTGCCATCTTACATCAGGTTGCATTTCCCCCCCGCCCTTTGCTTTTCTCCCCAGGTGGTTTCAGCAAGTTCCAGGCCGAGTTCGCCCTGCACTGCGAAACTAACCTAGACAGTTCGTGTAGCAGCAGCTCTCCTTCTTTGCCAGTCCTGGGCTTGGGAGGCCTCCGAATCAGCTCTGATTCCTCATCAGACATTGAATCTGACATTGACAGAGACCCCAATAGTGCCACCGACTCCGATGGCAGCCCTCTCTCCAACAACCAGCCTTCCTTCCCGGTGGAGATTTTACCCTACCTCTACTTAGGCTGTGCCAAGGACTCCACTAATCTGGACGTTTTAGAAGAGTTTGGCATTAAATACATCTTGAATGTTACCCCCAACCTGCCTAATCTCTTTGAAAACGCCGGCGAATTCAAGTACAAACAGATCCCGATCTCTGACCACTGGAGCCAAAACCTGTCTCAGTTCTTTCCTGAGGCCATCTCCTTTATAGGTGAGACCCGCTTATTTGCCGACAAGATATATGTCAAGCGGCAGAATTCAATTTATTTTGCAGAATTGAGGAGATTTCGGGCGAGAAGCGGTAGCAGCGTTTCTGTCAGTCTCTGTCGGATGCCTCGCTTTCTGGTTTTAAAGCCAGTTTAAGCTGAGGGGCGGGTTGGGGCTGTTGGGGGTGGTGGTGAAGAGCCCCGGTGAATTGTAAGCGACGTTTGCAGGTTGCAGACGCATTCCTGGTTTGGCTGGCTGTGGGATTCCTCCCTGCACCGTTTGTGTCGGAGCTGGGGACTGAGCAATGCGCAGGATGGGGGATATTTTTAAATCCCTTCCTGGCGGAGGTGGTGGTGGTGGAGAGCAAATGAACCCGGGGTTGATGGCTTATCCGTCCTTTTTGGTTTGTGTTGGTGGTGATGTTTTTGTTTTTTGGTTTTTTTTTTCTTCTTGAGGTTACTGAAGAACAGTAGAATAAAAAGAAACTATCTGGCAAGCTAACTTTAGCCTTTAAATACAAGTTATGAATAACCGGTATCCCTGGCAAATGTGTAGTCACAGCTTTAATTAAATTTCGTGGTAATAATGATATCTCTCTCAGGCTCGGTGCTTCGGTTAGCTAGCCCTTAGACATTATCCGTCAGTTTTTGGAAACACTCCTCGGTCTCAAGGAGCTCTCGTTAAAATTTGCACTCTCCTTCGTTTCGGGGGAGGTGGACACGACTAAAATCACCCCATCGGGGTGCGGTGGTGTGGGCATCGCATTATCTGTTGGGAAGCTGTGCTGTAATCCGGTTGAATGATACCGGTAATAGTGGAGAATGTAGGTAATCTGAGCCCAGCAGGAAGAAATGTGGGCTGGAAGCCACAAAGAAACTAATCTCCAGGCATTGTAATGCATTTCCTATTACAAAGGAACCCATTTTCAACCAATGTTGACATCCTGTTCCTCCTAATGGGCTGTCCCCTGTGACTTCCCTCATTCTTTTAAAATGCCTGAATACTTCCATTGTTAGCTGCACAACAGTTGGAGAATAATTTAATAGACCTTTGCAGTCTGCTGGTCTGTATAAAAGGCATTCAGTGACATATTGCAGGATTTCCATGCTGGGGCAAGGGACTGTAAGAATTTAAGGCAAATCTCCAGGCAAAAGAGTGTCTTTTAAAACTGACTTTTAAAACGGTGTCATGCAGCGTACCCAGCTCCCTTTGTCTCATTCTTAGTTTTCTCAGCTCTTGGGCTCGGGTACAAATACGTAGGGGGGTGGATTCTCCTCTTGCCCTGGTTTTAAGCTGGTGAAGTTAACTCTTGCGTTGCAGTGACAGCTACGGGGATCAGAATTGCCCTTTCTTCCCATTTGATGCTAATCTCGCCTGTGTTGAGATCAGTTACCAACCCCCTGTCTTATGTGTCCTCTGCCTGTTTGTACAGATGAAGCACGGGGGAAGAACTGTGGTGTCCTGGTGCATTGCTTAGCAGGGATCAGCCGCTCGGTCACAGTGACGGTGGCCTACCTCATGCAGAAGCTCAACTTGTCCATGAACGATGCCTATGATATCGTCAAGATGAAGAAGTCCAACATTTCACCCAACTTCAACTTCATGGGTCAGCTGCTGGACTTTGAGCGGACTCTGGGGCTGAGCAGCCCCTGTGACAATCGAGTGCCGAACCAGCAGCTGTACTTCACCACTCCTTCCAACCAGAACGTCTTCCAGGTGGATTCCCTGCAGTCCACGTGAGCTCCCACCACCTCCCTTCTCCTGTCCGTTTCATGGGATCACTCCTCAATGGTTTCTCTTTGGCAGCGATAAAGAAAATGCAGCTTTCTCTTTTTCTGGCCTCTGCTATCAAAAAGCAGCTGCCAGTGCAGGCTGGGAAAGGTTACACAGTATGGAATCGGCTATTGCGAAGGGAGGGAACGTGGTGACCAGGCGGCAGGTGGGCAGCGTGCTCATCCCTGCTGGCGCAGTGGCTTGGGTCCGAGGACTTCCAGGGTGGTGGGGTAAGGCTGGACAGGCTCAGCACGTGTTCTCTAGAGCCTGGAACTGTCCTGCTTCCCTCTCTGCTTTTGGATCTGTGACACACATCTTTGTCTTCAGTGAAGACTGGTTATTTTTGTTTGTTTGTTTGTTTTAATTTAGAGGAGCCAAAGAAAGACATTTCAGCTTAGTGTATTTGGAGTACTTGTTTGCTGGGAGCTCAGTAGTATTCTACTTGATCAATGTAAATATTTAATCTTAAATCGATTTGCAATTTTATTTGAATTCACATGTATTCGAGAAATCAATCCAAGGGACATCTATGTTTTTGTTCTCTTCATAAATTCTGCTTTGTTTGTTTGTTTTGTTTTTTAATTGCAAAGAATATATTTGCAGCATGCTTAATTTTATTGTTCAACTGAAGCAAGCTTTCCATGAGGGAGAATTGGTAATGGTGAGAAGTTTGCAAATCATGTTTTGTGAGCAAGTACTGTCTCTTCTTTCATATAATTTTCCTTTCCTTGTGGTGATTTTTTTTCTCATGCTCTTGATGTAGCTTCCACATGATATATATATTTTTAAATTAAATTAATTTTTTGCCTTACCTTTTGTAAATAGATCATCTGGGAGATTTGTCTTTGAATGCAAAAGATTTTCGATCACTTTTTAAAACTTTCAGATGTGCGAAACAGTGCATTACCTCTGTACAAATTCTTCAGGGAGCTTCACCTCAAATGCAATATTTTGCATCTTTTTCTTTTTTCTTTTTTTTTTTGTATAAAACTGGAAATATGTGCGAGCATTTGTACCTGTGTGTACGCACAGTGAACCTGCACACGGTTGCCAATAAGGGAGAGTCTAATTCATGGTGTAAAAGTTTTAAAATGGAATTTATTATAAGAATGTAAAACCTTAAATTATTAATAAATAAATAACTATTTTTGGCTATTGAGAACCTGGCTGCTTTATTCCCCCTTGCTCCTTTGTGTGGGTGTGGTTAATTGCACATACAACATATGGTTATGTTTAAAGGTAATGATTGCTTTCAATAGCTTTTGTACAGCCCCTAAGACAATAAAGCCTTGATTTCCCCTTTGGTCCACTGGTGCCTAAATGAATAAACAGTCCATGTGCTGGATTCCTGTCTTGCTTTGGTGAAGGGAATGCTTTTGAAGGCCTTGAGGTGAATTGCAAAATATTCCAGCATCCCTTTGATACCCCAGGGATGCACCTGACCCTGGGCCGTAAGGATCCTTTTTTTTTTTTTTTTCCCTCCCCCCTCTCCTTTTTAAGAGTAAGGAACTGCTGTTTGCTGGATTTATTGACAAGTTTTGGCCACTCAATTACAGATGCCAGGAGATGGGTTCGTGCTCTCCTTATCTATCTGGCAGGAACTCCTTTCACAGATTCATCAACAACCTGCAGCCTGTAAATGGTTGTTCTGTCACTGTTCAGCCACATTGCAGCTCAGCAGGTGAAGGCAAGGAAGAAAAGTCTCTCTACCCTTAGTCACCTCATTTCCTCTTCGGATCCTTCAAGTAGTCCTGTCTCTGCAGAAGGAAAAAGGGGGATTCTAGCGATTGCAAAACTTCCTGCTGCAACTTATGTCATTAACATCCTGATGAGAAGTGGCCCAAGGTAAAGTGGTGCCAAAATCCCTGTGCAGTACCAGGGTGATGGGCTGATGCTGCAGCTGGGGCTGGCTGCTGGGGTTCTGCAGAACTGGCAGCTGGAGCACATTTCAAGTAATTTTAGAAACTGCAAGTGTGTGAAATGAAAAGCAAACAAAACATGGGAAAAAAAGTGAGTCAGTGTCTCATGCAGTAGTGGCCTAGATTGAGTGCATAAACTGTGAAAGTAGAAGTGGGTTGCAGTTAAACTTGGCTTGTGCTAATCCAGTTTTGAACGGTTTCCGCTCTTGGCATTCCCTGTGCTGCTCTGCTCAAAGTGGAGATTTGCAAGCAGCTCTAGCAATTTCCTGTCCAGCTGCAGCTCAA